GGAGGAAAGGAGGGAGGGGAGGAAGAAGGGAAAAGGAGAGGGAGGGAAGGAGGGGAGGGAAACGACAGAGGGAGGAAAGGAGGGAGGGGAGGAAGAAGGGAAAAGGAGAGGGAGGGAAGGAGGGGAGGGAAACGACAGAGGGAGGAAAGGAGGGAGGGGAGGAAGAAGGGAAAAGGAGAGGGAGGGAAGGAGGAGATGGAAACGACAGAGGGAGGAAAGGAGGGAGGGGAGGAAGAAGGGAAAAGGAGAGGGAGGGAAGGAGGAGATGGAAATGACAGAGGGAGGAATAGAGGGAGGGGAGGAAAGAAGGGAGGAGAGTAGAAGGAAGAGAGGAAAAAAGGGAGAAAGGATGGGGAGGGAGGAAGAAAGAAAGGGAGAGAAAAGGGGAGGGAGGAGAGGAGAGAGTAAGGAGGAAATGACAGAGGAAGGAAGGAATAGAAAGAGGAAAGGAGGAAGAAGGATGAGATGATGGGAGGAAAAGGGAGAGAGGGAGGGAGAAAAAAGAAAGAAAAAGAGGGAGGGAGGAATAGGGAAGGGAGGAAAGGAAGAAAGGAAGGAAGCAAGGGAGAGAGGGAGGAAGAAAAAAAGGAAGAAAAAAGAGAGAGGGAGGAGATAGAAATGACAAGAAGGAAGGAATAGAGGGAGGGAAGGAAGGGAAGAAGAAGGGAGGAAAGAGGAAAGAAGGAAAGGAAAGGAAAGAAGGAAAGGAAAGAAGGAAAGGAACGGAGGATGTTGGGAGGGGTAGAGAAGGAAGGAAGGGAAGGAAGGAAAGAGGGATAGTGAAGGGAGGGAGAGAGGGAAGAAGAAGGATGGGGTAAGGAAAGAAGGAAGGAAGGAGAAAAGGGGGGAAAGGAATGGGAAGGGAAAGAAGAGGGATGGAAGAAAGGGAAAGGAAGAAAAGAAAGAAGGAAAGGATGATGTTGGGAGGGATAGGGAAGGAAGGAAGGAAAGAAGGGAATGAGGGAACAAGGGAGAGGGAAGGGAGGGAGAGAGGGAAGAAGAAGGGAGGGATAACGCAGGAAGGATCTGAGCACGCAAAGGAGAACCAATATCTCACCTGGTCAAAAAATCCGTTGGGGATGGACAGGTAAGGGGCGGGGTAGGTGGCAAAGATGGAGGCCGTTTCCCGGACGCCTGTCACTCTGAGAGTCCCATTGCTGTAGCTGTGAATGGCGTCTGCCAGAAGAGAGAGAGAGAGAGAGAGACACCCCCCCCCAAGAGCAGCATTAATCGTAGGCCCCCTCCCCGGATGACCGCGGAAGATGGGCCCCGAATGAACTGAGAAGGGCTGCGTTGATCCTCCGAACAGCTTCTTTAAGCGACTAGTCCTCAGTGTTCCTTCGAACCCCAAGTTCACCCTTGCCTTCTGGTTTACTTTGGCCTCTGCAGGACCAAGGGCCATCGGGACCCAAAAGGGGGCAGCTGGACAAGATTGACACACACACACACACACACACACACACACACACAACCCCTTCACCCGGGCGATCTGGTTACCGTAATAAAGGAGGTAGACTGTGCCAGCGCCCACAAACGCCCCCAGGACTTGGATGAGAAAATAAAGGGGCAGTTTCCACCAGGGAAACTGAGCCAGGAGGCACAGGGCGAGCGAGAAGGCCGGGTTCAGGTGTCCTCCTGGAGGGGGGAGGGGGGGGGGGAGAGAGAAAGAGAGTCCTGTCAATCAAATCCAACAGCATTATTTACTATTATATTATTTCTCCACTTTGGTCACTTTAAGAGGGGTGGACTTCAACTCCCAGAATCCCCCAGTTTACATGCTTTAAGAGGGGTGGGCTTCGACTCCCAGAATCTCCCAGTTTGCATGCTTTAAGAGAAGTGGGCTTCCACTCCCAGAATCCCCCAGTTTGCATGCTTTAAGAGGGGTGGGCTTCGACTCCCAGAATCCCCCAGTTTGCATGCTTTAAGAGGGGTGGGCTTCCACTCCCAGAATCCCCCCAGTTTGCATGCTTTAAGAGTTGGGGACTTCAATTCCCAGAATCCCCCAGCCATGCTACTTATATGAATAGCCCAAACCGTTCATGGGAAAGACTGGCTTTACTTAATGACCCGAGGATTCGTTTAACGACGCAGGGGGTTAACCCCACCTGAGACACCCCCGGAGACGTGGACGGCCACCATCACAGCCACCCCGCTGGCTAAGGAGGAGCTTAAAAAATTTCCTTTGGTTCCTTCGCTGGTGACGCTTTGCGCCGAGGCGCTAAGAGTGAGGACCTAGAAAAAGAAGGAAAGGGGAAATGAAGGGCTGTCTCTTCCCCTCCTTCCCTGACTGCCTCCTTCCTTTCCTTCTCCTCCTCTCTTCCTTCCTTCCCTCCCTACTTCCCTCCTTCTCTCCCTTCTCTCTTTCTGTTCCTTCCTTCCTCTGTCATTTCCATCTCTTTCCTCCCTTCCTCTCTCCTTTGCTCCCTCTTTTTCCCCTCCTCCTTTCCTCGTTTCTTCCCCATCCTTCCTCTTTTACTTCCTTCCGTTTTTTTAATTCCTTCCACTGTCATCTCCAGCTCCTTCCTCTCTCTCTCCTTTCCTTCCTCTTTCTCTCCCTTTTCCCTCCCTCTCTCCCTTCTTTCCTTCCTTCCCTCTATTCCTTCCTTATCCCTGTCTCTCTCCTTTCCTTCCTTCCTTCCTTCCCTCCTTCTTTCCTCTCTCTCTTCTCTCTTTCTATTCCTTCCTCTGTCATTTCCATCTCCTTCCCTCCTTCCTCTCTTTTTCTTCCTTTTTCCCTCCCTCCCCTCCTTTCTCTCTTTTTTCTTCTTTCCTTCCTTCCCTCTATTCCTTTCTTATCCCTCTCTCTCTCCTTTCCTTCCTTCCCTCCTTCTTTCCTCTCTCCCTTCTCTCTTTCTATTCCTTCCTTCCTCTGTCATTTCCATCTCCTTCCTCTTTTTCTTCCTTTTTTCCGCCCTCCTCTCCTTTCTTTTTTCTTATTTCCTTCCTTCCCTCTATTCCTTCCTTATCCCTCTCTCTCCTTTCCTTCCTTCCCTCCTTCTTTCCTCTCTCCCTTCTCTCTTTCTATTCCTTCCTCTGTCATTTCCATCTCCTTCCCTCCTTCCTCTCTTTCTCTCCCTTTTCCCTCCCTCTCTCCCTTCTTTCCTTCCTTCCCCCTATTCCTTCCTTATCCCTCTCTCTCTCCTTTCCTTCCTTCCTCTCTCCCTTCTCTCTTTCTATTCCTTCCTCTGTCATTTCCATGTCTTCCCTCCCTCCTTCCCCTTTTCTTTCTTTTTTTCTCCCTCCCTCCCTTTCCTTCCCATCGTCTCCTTTCTTCCTTCCTTCCCTCTTTTCATCCCTTCCTTCCTTGTCCCTCTCTCCTTTCCTTTCTTCCTCGTTCCTCCTTTCTCTTCGCCTCCCTCCCTACTTCCCTTCTCTTTCTATTCCTTCCTGCGTCTGTCATCTCCATCGCTCCCTCCCTCCTTTCCTCCCTCTCTTTTTCTCTTCCTTTTCTCTTCCTCCCTCCCTCCTTTCCCACTTCTCCTCCCTGCCTTCCCAGATGTGAGGCACAGGGCAGATGTTGTTGGGCATCTGGGCCATTATCGATGCCCAAGACTAAGGAAAAGATGGTTGGCCAACTACGAAGATACCAAGCCTGCGGGTCAACGAAGCCGGTTTGTGCCAAATTGGCAGAGAGGAAGCCAAACCGGCTTCTCTGCCTTTCCCCATTCTCGGTCCCGAGTGAGAGAGACGCGCTCCTCCATTTTCGCTTCGCCCACTCCAGGGCTGGGTGCAGGAGAAAAACACTTTCCAAATTCAAAGGAATTATTTTTTCTCCCCCTCCCCGGGGGATGATTGACAGCTCAGAAAAGGCTCAGAAGAATCCGGATAGATACCGACAACTCCCCGCGGCGAGAAATCTAGGCCAGAAGGACGAAAGCTGGCTGTGCTTGCAACCTATTTTCCCTCCAGCCCGCGCGGATGGGCTTGCTTGTTTGATCTCGCTCCCTTTTGCGGGCAAGGAATGAAAGGTGTTGTCGTTAACGCATTTATGAGCAGGACGAAACTTGTCTTGCTAAGCAAGGAAGCCGCCATTAAGGTGGTTTCCGTCCCCCGTTTTACGACCTTTGGGAAGCGGTTATGAAATCCGGTTGTTAAGTGAATCCTGGACTCGTTGGAAAGCCGCAAGAGTGAGCCCAGGACACCTGCGGCCGTCGTAACTTCGAGTTGCCAAGCTACCCGTAGTTTGGAATTTGTGGTTTCTCTTTCCCCTGCAGCTGTTTAAAAGACAACTAAATATTTGCACTTTGGAGTTAAAGACGCACCAGGGAGGGCAAAATATTCCCTGCCAAGCGAATAAATAACTCCGCAGGTCAGGAGAGGCGGCCCGCGCTCGGCTGCGTGAAACCCCAGTTGTGCAAAAAGAGGCGTGTTTACACACATGGAAGCACGCGGGGTTTTGACTCGGCCGTCTCTCCGGGAATGGCGAGCCCCGTCTGCCTTTGGGTGATTTTACGTTTCGGAGAAGAGAAGCAGCTGGAGGAAAGAAGGAAGGAAGGAGGGGAGGGAAAGAGAAGGGAAGGAAGGAAGGAAAGGATGAGGGGAAAGAAGGAAGGAAGGAGGGGAGGGAAAGAGAAGGGAAGGAAGGAAGGAAAGGATGAGGGGAAAGAAGGAAGGAAGGAGAAGGAAGGAGAGGA